TTATAAACTAAAATAGTTTTTAGTAGTGTTATCTTTCACACTTGTTGTACTTCTTGGCCTACCAGTGAACCTATAAACAGTAAATAACCTTATAAACTAAAATAATTTTAGTAGTGTTATCTCTCACACTTATTGTACTTCTAGGCCTACCAGTGAACCTATAAACAGTAAATAACCATATAAACTAAAATAATTTTTAGTAGTGTTATCTTTCACACTTGTTGTACTTCTAGGCCTACCAGTGAACCTATAAACAGTAAATAACCTTATAAAGTGACAGTCAAATCCTTCTATTTGATTAAAGTAGCCTAAGTTAAACATTAGGGACATATAACATAGATATTTCTTGTGTAGCTTTGCGTGAATTTCTGAATCAAAGAAACAGTTTATTTTTTTATATTTTTGTAATATATATTTATTATATTTACCAATTCTAAGCTGCCAGGAAACATTAGTGCTGGATCAGGAAAGTTGGCATGGTGTGAAACCATCGTGAAGAGAGTTAAAGAGATGACCTTGAAAAGGAAGATGGAACGAGTAAGTTAAGGATTATAACGAAAAAATGTTACCGAGTTCTTTATGTATACTTTCCAAAACTAGTTTGAACAGGTTTCAAATTATGCTTCTCTTGGAGATTAGAAATTTAGGTTTTTACTCTTTGAAATAAAAACATAAAAGTTATTCAGAACTGACTTGATATAAGATTTTATACTTTATGCTAAAATAAAAATTTTGAGATGGCTTGACTGAGTATCTGAGGATGACAAAATCTTATTGAAACGTCATACATTTGTAATAAAGGTTTTTTTCATTACCCAGTCAAGCCATCTCAAAACTTTTATTTTCGTAAAAGTGGGTTCCTCGTTATAAAGTTTTATGCTAGAAGATGATCAAACTAGTACCTACCTTGAGCATACGAACAGGTTGTTTTAGGATTTAAATTCTTCATTTGTGTGTATGTAATGATGTTTTCTAGTTACGTTATTGTGTGGGAATGATGTATAAAAACTGATTTATAGATCTTGTAACTTCATTTGCCCATCTGCGTGACAGTGATACCAAACCCTTTATCAGAAAAGTTTGCTGAAAGTAGAGTGTTATTTAATGATGAATCATTTCTGAACTATTCTGTTCTGCACATGAAATAATTATGTGTTTATGTAATAGCCAGGTTTATTTTCCAGAGATGCACGGGTACCCGGCTAGATATTCAATCTCGGCCGGGTATTGGGCTACTCGGTAATACTCGGCTGCGGCCGAGTGCCTAAGTTAGGCATCTAAGCCCTAATCTTTGTGGCAACTAACGCGGTACTGAAAGTTACAGTCAATAATTGGTTTAGTTTTTAAAAAAACATGTTCCGAGCAACAAAAACTGACTGGTCACTGAAAGTCGGGGATTCAGAGAACAATAGGGGTTAATAACGGGTATGGCTTGAAAAGTGGATTTCTGGGGAAGGAGGGAGTTTTGAGGAGAATAGGGGTTAGGGTTTGAGAAGCTGGGGTTAGGCACTGAAAGTTGAAAGTAAAACTTGAATGTTCTGCTGGTGATTATTCAGTTAAATGTAATAAACATCAATTTTTTTTTTGTTTCTAATTTTTGTGCATGTTGTTTTGGGTGGGAGCAAGGGGAGAACCTGGTCCCAGTTAACACCCGGACCTGGTATTCAGCCAGATTTTATTACCAGTACATCCCTAGTATTTTCTAAGATTTTTTTATAATAGAAACATGTGTACTATTTATGGTGTGATTTCTTTTTCAATCCGACTTCATGTCCAGGTTAAACTGGACACACAATTGATACCTCCTATGTTAACATTTCATATTTTATAGATCATTTTGTCAACTCTGTCATTACAGTGACACATATTGCCAAAGTTGGTATAAATGTATGCTCTTTTTAATAGGGAGGTAAGTTTAATAAAAACATAGTCATCAGATGAGAAATATATTTGAAGCACGGTATTACAACACCCAAAAACTAAGTTCAAATGTAATTTATGTCTCAGTAATACTTGTAGCAGGAATATAAGTGCTCTCTGTAACAGTAATAACTCTTATCCATTGGATATGAAATGACGATTGTGTAAATGTGTTATATCTTTGAAAATAAGAGCTTTTCTGGTTACTGTTTGTTCTAGATTATTGAGGAAATATTTCTAGAAATTAGTTTCAAACATGACAGTATAATGTGAGGAAAATGCAGTACTGACATTTTTTTCAACTGAATCCTAAGTTACTCTTTCTCATTGGAAATGAGCATTGGCCGTCTGCCAACCTTAAGATTCACACTAGCTACCAACCTCATCCTTCTTTCAAATATTCTCTCAATAAACCCTGGTTCTTGAATATTAATAGAGAGATGCCAGGTGGGTTTGTTAGTTGGACCTCATAGAATTATATTTAAAGGTGAAAATTTTTGTTGTTTTTTTCAAATTTGCTTTAAACGGCTGCAAATATATGCACACATAATGCTTAAAAATGTTATTCACAAGCTTGCTGAACATGAAGAAAGACTACAACAGATGATAAATGCACAGGAGTTGCTGGAAGAAGGTGAAGAAGACAATTTTGTGGTATGTTGGTTTTCCTCCATTCTTTCGAGATGTGCTTTACCATCAGTTAATATTTAACTCTTTCCGAACCAGAGTGATGTCATGGTGATCACTTGATTTTTTTTTTCTTGTTCTTCTTCTCACAGTGAAAATATTTAATCTAATTGCATGAAACTTAAAAAAAGTATGTAAAATAATATCTTGTTTTGGTTTAAAGTTCCAATAATTTGATTTAGTTCTTCTATAACTTTATGTTGGAATATTTCACTGTCGGCCTACCTTACCCACTAAACTTAACTGATCTTACATGATATATTGTCAAAGAATAACATTTCCTTAGGTATCAAATGAATGTAGTTTAAGAAAAATATTTTCAAAAGAAATTATGAAAAAATTCTCAAATCTCTAGTTTGTTCTTAAGTCTTCTAAATGTCCTGTTACGTTCCTTTCTTCACCCCTTGAGGGGGGTTTTGGTCAGTCAAAATCTCAAGAAACCACAAATTTCTGTTCGAGCTACTTTATTAACACTTCACTGATGAAAAGAAATTATTATCTGCTCTATTTATTCATTTTTAAATGTTGATTATAATTGTTTTCATGGCTGAGCTTTATTAATAGTTGTTCGGACCATGTGCTGTAAGATCGTAAAAGGATAGCAGTAAAGGTGTGTAGTAATAAATACACTAACAGAGAAATAAAGTAACTTGAGAAGTAAGACACGAATTGGTGTATTTTATAGGTTTTATTAGCAAATAAAAATATATAATTTAGAATTGACAGAAAATTGTTAAAAAAATCAATAAATTTGTTGTTCATAGGCAAAACTTCTTGGAGCGGAAATGAAAGATGTAAAATATTTACATTTTACTTGCAAATTACACTAAGTAAATGTTACACAAATAGAGAGGTCGAACTGTTATTTTTACCTATATTTTGAAATTTGATATGCAATTTTTTATTTTGAAACAAAAGTCAAAGCATAATATTTTCCAAAGATTGAGTATCAGGACATCGTATATTTAATGATTTATTTAAATGTTTTTCCATACTTTATAAAACAATAATTAATAATTTGAGAACATTTGGATGCTTTTGTAGACTTATATATTTAGTTGATAATTCTTGATGATTTTGTTCTTTTACAATCCTATAGAGGGCACTTCAAGAGTTGGGTTGTCACTCTGCAGAAGAACTCCAACTTGAAAGCAACCGACTAAATCAACAAATTCAAAAGGCCAAAAATCTTAAGCAGGAAAGTTCAGTAAGTTAATTTCAACAGTATTGTGGGTTTTACATTAACAACCACAATGAGTCTTCCATTGTTACAAGGAGTAGAGTAGAGGGAGCAGGAACTTGGTGAATATCTGAAGCATACTTATTTATGTAAAACTGGGTCAGATTAATGTTCTACGGAAATCTTTATCACGTACTTTTATTTTTCCTTACGTACAATTGTTTATAGGCTTAAGGTTTCGAACCTAAGATTTAAATAAGTTGGTGTTCTTGTTGTATTTATAATTCTTTTAATCATGTCAGGAGCCAACAAGAAAGATAAGATGTGTGGAAGTAGACTTGCGAAGATTTTCTGACTCGGAAACTTGGATTGCAGCTGTTCGGAAACAGTGGAAGGTAAATGAGAAACATACCAACATTGTTCATTAAGTTTGTACATTTATAATCATACTAATTAAATGTTAAAGACATTTGAATGTTAGTAAAAGTAATGGAGGTTCATTAATAAAAAGAAAATGTTTAAAGTTTAAGAAAAATGAAGTTAAAAGTTTTTGTTTAACAAACAGCTGTGAAATTTAAAAATATACTCATTACAGGTTTTGTTTTAAGAATCCTTCTACTTAGATTGTATCATTAAATTACATTTTATCAATTTATTCATTTTTAAGGAGAGCTCCGTAACTGGATGGTAGTAATTTTGTACTGCTTTAGTGTATTGTTTATTATTACCAGTAAAGTAGTACCACTGGTGAGTTATGCCTTCTTTGATACTATTAGTTAGAGGGAACTCACAATATAACTAATGCATTTTTCTCATTAAAAATGCAAGATTATGTATTCAATAGAATCAGTTTACTACATGCTGTTGGTTTTGTTGACTAGCTGCTTTCCTGTTAACCTACCAGCTCAAAATTGGGGACAGCTAGCGCAGATAGCCGTTGAGTAGCTTTGTTTAAGTATTCGTAAACAAGCAAACAAATAATACATTGTAACTACAAGTACAAATGTAACTGCTGGATTGTAAGAACATAATTTGAATTCTAACTCAAAGTAAAGTTTATTAAATACACAAGTGTGATAAATGTCCACATTTTTCATATAGTTTTATTGTACACTAGTGTTCTTTTTTAGATTTTACTTTCTGATTTTAAGTATATGTCAACAATATTTTTGTTAATGCCTCTTGTATGTGTGTTATTAAATGGGGATGTTGTTTGAGGAAAAGCCGTTCATGGGCTAATGTAGGGGTTGACAACCCAAGTATCAAGAAGAGCCATTTTTATCAAATTTAGTAAAAATGCAAAATACTAAGAACCGCAATGCATGCAATCCCTGTTTCAATAATTGGACAGTAACAGGGTTAAAGAGCAGCAGGTTGTCGACCCCTGGCCTATTGGTTAGTGTGCCAGACTTTGAATTTGAGTTTCTATGATTTTTGTATCATTTCCACAAACATGTGCACTTTGAAGCAATGGATGCATTATAAGTGAGACAGTCAAATCCGATTATTCGATTACAGTAGCGCAAGGGTTGGTGGGGGGGGGGTCTGTTGACTTGCTGCATTCTCTCTAGTCTATCAGTTGAAAACTAGTGGGGGGGGTCTGTTGACTTGCTGCATTCTCTCTAGTCTATCAGTTGAAAACTAGTTATGCAGGTACCTTTTTAGCCCTTGTGTAGCTTTACATGAATATTGACAGATATGAGACACAAGTTTAATTATACTATGAGAAATTATTATAGTACCTTCTAAACTAACGGATTGCATAAAATACAGAAAGTATTGAGTTGCCTCTATGGTTTATTTTTTTCATCTGTATTTGTTAGGAGTTACGTGAATCAAGACTGTCTCGACATCGATACCAGAAAACCGAGAAACTTCCTCAGCTGTTTGATTGTGAAGGTCGGTTCTGCTCACGATAATTAAAATTAATTTGGAAAAGATAAGTTTATTAGTGAAAATGTGATTCATACTGTTCTTTTTTCTTCTCAAAATATGTAAGAATTAAATCCTACTCCGTGGTTAGATTTTTGAAATAAAGAAACTTATATATTTTTATTAGCTTGTTTCATTTTATACAAACTCCCTGTGTTTAACAACAAAGTATTTATCTCATATACATTCATCCTAATGTTTCAGTGTGTTACTGTTTATTAAAGCGTAATTGTCTCCTTTTTAAAACTAATATTTTTCTCTAAGAAAAAAAAAGGTCTTAGCGTTTAATTTTTTTTTAATATATAAAATTGTAATTAATTATTATTGCATAAAACAATACATGCATCTTATTGTTACAGGTAATCCAGTGGAAGCAATGGATGAGGTAATACATGACAAATACTAATACAGTAGTGAAATGTTAAGTAATCAGACATACATTTTATGCTCTTAGTGCTAACACTGTACTATGAGCAAACCGTATGTGGTTGGTCAAAGCGTGCATTAAGAGTGTGCTTACAAGTCCTTTATTTTCTCAACTAATCTGTCCTGAATTATGACAGTATTATTATTTGATTGTAACTTATCAATAATGATCTAAGTTTTTACAAGAAGATGAAGATGTCTAATTTTGCATTATCTGAAAAACATTTTGAAGACTTTGATGTTTTTCTGCAGAGAGTGGTTAACAAAAGCAAAATTTTTAAGTACGATTTTATAAAGAAAAAATATGTATTCAAATATATGATCAGCATTTTGCTTATTAAGAAATGTACACTTTTATAATACTGTTTTTAATAGTTAAATGTGTTTATTGTTTTTTTCCTTGAAGTATTTAAATTAAAAGGCAAATCTAAACTGAGAACAGCGAAGGTTTTTCAAGTTATTAGTAATACTTAGATTGTTCACTTCTACTCCTTGATTTTTTTAATAAAATATGTCTTGACAGAGAACAATAACGATTTGTGTCGAACAAGCAAAACTTTGCGTTTCTGTAGATTGTTTACAAACGTAACATTTGAATCTGATACAACAGGTCTCGGCTGAGGACAGTGAAGATGAGCAAGACAAGATTTTTGAATTGGAAGAAATAATAGCTGAATACAACCGTGAAGTTAACAAGTAAGGTGAAATTAAAGTAATGGTAATATATGAATTTCAAAAATATCCTTGGGTTTGTTACATTTGTACGTTTTTTTTGTTTTTGTCATATTTCGTTGTACAAATTGTTGTAAACTGGTAGAAAATGAGATGCTATGGTAGGAAAACTTTAAATACTCTCTCCTTAGACTAGCCAATTTGATGAATATTCATCAACTAGTTTCTCTGATATCAGACTTCTGACAGTTTGTTCCGTTTACTCATGCCAGAAGACAACGTGAACTAGTTTTTCTGACATCAGACTTCTGACAGTTTGTTCCGTTTACTCATGACAGAAGACAACGTGAGACTGAAGAGGACACAAAGCTAGTTTTTCTGATATCAGACTTCTGACAGTTTGTTTCGTTTACAAAACTAGTTTTTCTGATATCAGACTTCTGACAGTTTGTTCCGTTTACAAAGCTAGTTTTTCTGATATCAGACTTCTGACAGTTTGTTCCGTTTACTGAAGTTTTTTCACTAATTTTATTTTTTACAATAGCAACTTTTGATTCTGTCATACGGTTAGGTACAGATGTAATAATAAAAGTATGTATAACATAAAAATATGCTCTGTATCCCAATTTTTGTATCTTCACAAAATGCGCGTGCTCACTAAATCAAAAAGTAACAAACTCGCATCTTCAATGTGCAATATTTGAAATTGGTCTTTATGTTATTGTACCAGGATTATTAAATTCAAGTAACTTATCATGTGTAAATATGAGCTAATGTGAGGCTATTAAACTAGGTATGAGCTAAAGAAGCAGTATAAAGTTTTGAAGATTGGAATTATTTGAGTCGAGTCTGTTGCTATACTTAAGATCTTTTGAAGTGTTATTGTTTTAAGTATATTAGGTGAATTTCTAATGTTATACTTAGGGTTGTATGCAAGGTTTCCATGCATTCTTGGAATCGGGAAATATTTGGAAATTTTTTTTCTGGAAAATATAGATAGGATTTGGGAAAATATTATTATTATTAAAAATCTACGAATCAGCAATGTTGTGTTCCTCAGTATTCCGAGGTAATCTTTTCTATTCGTTGGTCAATAGACATCACTTAGATTAGGTCGTAACATTTTGTACCACTGGTAGATTGCATCAAAGCATGACCCAATAAGAAAATGCCATATGATGGGGATTATTCTATAGTTAGATGTTCATACATTTGTACACGTTCGTGACAGGGTACAGAAGCTGACGTGCGTTGACTTTTGTTACAATTCATTAGAATGACTAGAAATCAGCTTACAAAAAGTGAAATAATGAATGTTTATTTCTTTTATAATTGTATGTTACAGTTATAGTGCCCAGGAAGTGGCACCACCGTACAATATGCTAATTTTACACGTACATCTACTCTAGTAAATAGACAAACCTCGTGTCCTCCCGTCTCTTGAAGAGGGTGAATCATGTTGTCCATCGAAACATGTAGAGGCTGTTTTTTCTTTTGACGCTATACAAATAAATTTATTGCGCACATGAAACACTGGTATTGTGATTAATATTTTGTATTGAGTATAAATATAGCCGTTATTTTTGTTTTTCTAGTAAGTCAGGTTACAGGTCAGAGCATCGATTTTCATTGAACATAATATTTTGTATTGAGTATAAGTATAGTCGTTATTTTTGTTTTTCTAGTAAGTCAGGTTACAGGTCAGAGCACCGATTTTCATTGAACAGAATATTTTGTATTGTGTATCAGTATAGCCGTTATTTTTGTTTTTCTAGTAAGTCGGGTTACAGGTCAGAGCACCGATTTTCGTTGAACATAATATTTTGTATTGAGTATAAGTATAGCCATTATTTTTGTTTTTCTAGTAAGTCAGGTTACAGGTCAGAGCACCGATTTTCATTGAACATAATATTTTGTATTGAATATAAGTATAGCCGTTATTTTTGTTTTTCTAGTAAGTCGGGTTACAGGTCAGAGCACCGATTTTCGTTGAACATTGCTGAATATTACCAGCTTCATCTTGGTGTGGAACGAATGAGGTGAGAACGGAGTGATATTTTTATAGTTTAATACTTTGACCAGACACGGTGCTAGAATAAATTTAGCGTCATCAAAATATTTTTTGAAATGTTTTTCACATTTATAACTTGTTACAGATATTCTCAAATTTCTATTGTAGCTCTGACATCTTTTAAAAGTTACTTTTATATACCACTGTGACCATGTAAATAGCTTGAGTAATTTTGTATTTGTGTAGTTTGATATTTATATTAGTTTTCTCTCTTTCTTGTTTTTTTTTTTCTTTTGCACTCTACTTGATGTATGCCTAATTCGTATTATTTTGAAATTGTTTTATTTTAAGTATAGCATAAAATTAGGAAACAACAGTCTATGAGTCCACTCTAGTGTCTAGTAATTTTAGGTCTATTATGTTAAATATATTTGTTGTTGTTGTTTTTTAATTTAAAAGAAAACATCTTGTTCGGTAGAGAGTTCAGAATGCTGCTTTCATTGCCAAACTTTGTTTTTATGTTTGTAAAAAATTTGATGCCAAACTTTTGCCAAAATTTCTTAAACTTATTGGTTAACAGAAAGTGAGATGTAAGGCTTGTCCATTGTCCAGTTATAAAGAGTCATATGGTCCCGTAACTCTTCTAAGACCGTTCTTGGTGTTGGCTATTAAAAAACGAAGTTAAATTTTCAATCCATAACTTAGCTATTAACTGTTTCAGTTAGTGAATTTTTTAATTTCTTTGTTTGCAATGATCGCACATTTGACGGAACTAGTCTAAAAGGAGTTGGCCTGGTGATTAGGGCACTCAACTCGCAATCTGTGGGGTCATTTGGTTGAATCCTATCACCGAACATGCGATTGGTGTGCTGTAATGTGACAGTCAGTACCGCATTTTTGTATTGGTAAAAGGGAGCTCAAAAGTTGACTGTGGGTGGTATTGACAAACTGCTATCTATACTAAATTAAGGACATTTAGTGTAGATAGCTCTGGACTAGCCTTGTGTGAAATTTCACAAACAAATAAACTAGAAGGAGTTAGTTTTCTGTAAATTTTTATATGAATGCTATAAAAGATGGTATGGTTAAGGTGTTTTTGACTCGCAAACTGCAGGTTGCAGGTTCAAGTCCCCAGCACCGAACATGCTCGGCCTTTCAGCAATAGGGGTGTTATGATATAATGGTTAATCCCGCTATTCTTTGGTAAAAGAGTAGACCAAGAGTTCGTAGGTGGTGTTCACTGGCTGCCTTCCCTCTAATCTATCACTGTTAAATTGGAAACAGCCAGTAGCCCAAGAGTTCCGAGGTGGTGTTCACTGGCTGCCTTCCCTCTAGTCTATCACTGTTAAATTGAAAAGAGCTAATAGCCCAAGAGTTCGTAGGTGGTGTTCACTGGCTGCCTTCCCTCTAGTCTATCACTGTTAAATTGGAAACAGCCAGTAGCCCAAGAGTTCATAGGAGGTGTTCACTGGCTGCCTTCCCTCTTGTCTATCACTGTTAAATTGGAAACAGATAGCAGCCCAAGAGTTCATAGGTGGTGTTCACTGGCTACCTTCCCTCTAGTCTATCACTGTTAAATTGGAAACAGCTAATAGCCCAAGAGTTCGTAGGTGGTGTTCACTGGCTGCCTTCCCTCTAGTCTATCACTGTTAAATTGGAAACAGCCAGGAGCCCAAGAGTTCGTAGGTGGTGTTCACTGGCTGCCTTCCCTCT